AACTTTTCTTAATTTGCAATAGTAATCCCATGTCGCTCTTAATCTTGAGGCAAACTGTATATGGGTTTCATTTCGGAACCGTTTAGCTTTTCTAAAATTGTTTAAGCATGCATCTGCGGTTGGTTCAAATTCCCTTAGAACGATTGATTTCACCCGTTCGTAATTACGCATTTCTTCGCTTTTAACATAGGTTAACAGATTCGTTGCTTTTTCTCCCAATATATGAAGTAATATTTCTACTTTCATTTCGGTAGGGATGTTCTTAATTTCAAAAGCTTTTTCTAAAGAGGTGAAGAATAAATTCCAGGTTTCTGCACGTTGCGGTACGGGAATTGTCAATGCTTGAACACTTTTAATCATATCTTCTAATGTTAATGTTCTTTCTACATTGGAATTCCTACTTGTATTACTTTGGATACGAGCCAGTTCTAATTGATTATCATGCACTAATTTTAATTTCTCTAGTTCCAGAGCTCGATTCTCACGTTTAAGTCTATCTGAGACCGTGCTCCTTAAAATTTCTGTTACGAATTCCGGATCATTTTCACATTCTGAACTTTGTAAAATAAGTTTTAGATCAGCTACTGTTGAGTTAGGAGGAACAGCACCTAATTCTTCTGCGACAAATATTAAATCTTCTTTTCTTATTCCTTTTACAGCAAACATTTTATCTTATTGTCATGCAATAAGAGATGAAATCAAAAAGTCAGATAAAATTATTGCCTACCTCTTATCATCTTGATGACGCTCACCACGACGACAAAGTGATCCCACTTCTGACACCAATGTGATGATTGATTTTGAAAGGTTCTTTAATTTGCTGTCATCCGTGATGTTAATCCAATAATGGGACTTCTTTCTTCTCACACATTATTTTATTTATATATATATATAAGAGGTATTAAGTAGATTACAAAATATTTACATAAGATTAACATTAATTAAAGTCAATTGGAGAGTACACGCCTGCATATTATCGTGTAGTCCTATTAAGATATATGGTGAGTGCACGCCTGCGATAATCGTGCAGTCACCTCCGACGCTGTTTAAATCCTAACTGACTCTAACCTGCGGCAATCAATCGCCAGAGGGAGTTGTACAACTTTTTCCCTCGAATACCAGGGAGAGGGAGGTATCAGGCATTACACATCCATTCAGAGAAATATTATTAGGGTCACTGCTTGGCTTAGGTGGAACTGGGAATTATTTTGTACCTCACACTTTTGTGCTATTAATTCAGTCATTTTAAAATATATTAAAAAAGGTCCATAAAACTATTTATTAGCTTAAAAATTACTGTTTCAAAGTGCAATATAGTATATCCTTATACCAATTTTTTCCTAATAGAACTATTTCAGCTTTGAAAATTCTTCTTCGGTTCTTCTGCGTCCTAAATCTGACTATTTATTCAAAACTATTAGCTTAGAGAAAAAATATTACCTTCTTCCAGTATTAAATTTTCTGATTTCTCATTGATTTTGAAAGAGAAAGTTAGGTTTCCTGTTTTTGCGCAGATGTCGAATTTTCTTTTGCCATTTGACTATTACATCCTCGAAGACTGAATTACTGTTTTAACATTTTCTAAATTAACATATTCTGTTTGTCATAAATAAAGTGTTGTCACAAGTCTGTGGTTAGCCAGCATTCGATTATCTTAATATATATATATTTACAATATTGCATTATATTCTACAGGATCGTATTGCATTAAAAATAGCTTAAAAATAAAATCCTTTTTTTTTTTAACTTGAACGTTTTAAATCTTTGAACCTTGAACTTGAATCCTTGAACGTTTTAAAAAAAGGATAAATCTCTTTTTTTAACTGTTTCTGAAATGTTAAAAAATAATTTTCGGTTTTTCCAGTTGCAGATAAGGAACTAATTTATGAATTTTTATATACATTTGCCTCCTTGAAGATTCTAAAATACTTTATTGAAGAGTTCAAGAAAACGTGTTTTAGGCGTCTCTTTTCACTATTTCGACGCAAAATAGTATTATAAATATAAATGTTTTATTTATCGCAGATGATTTGGTTTTCAGACTCAGTAATATTCAAGAAATCGAAACCCGTTTTCAGCTTCACTCCGTCGTGCGAATCCAGGCTAGCTTATGTGTATAATATTTATACATGTTAAGGGCAAGTGGTTAAGACCGCTGAATACTGGGAATTCGACTGGATTAGATCTCAGACGAATGCGCTAGTTGCATGGTTGGTTTTCATAGTTTTCCCTATATGTAACATTAATATGAGCCAGTTTTCCTTAGAAAATCCTTTACGAAAGTGCCTTCCCCCTTAAGCAGATAGTCCGTGTGTGTTTTGTCATACTCAAATAACCTAACTTAACCTAACCTTATATCGTTAGCAGCATCGTATTGTGTATTTCACAGAAGGTATAGTGCCCATATTGCTGCCAAGTGATCCATGTGCAACAAAGAGGCAGTAACATTAAGGGGTGGAAGAATAATTCATTTTGCTATTGGGCAAATTAATTTGTACTTTTCTGTTATAAAGTTTCATATAGTGCACTACATATCATTAAAGGTTTGCCTTTATTTTGCAGTGAAATAATTTCACTACTGTACGCATAAAAAGATAAAGTTTTATTATGATTTTCATATATGTCTCCATAGAAATTATGTTTCTGCATTATGTTGCAAATTCGTAATAAAAGGTACTTTTTTTGGTTCAATGGGTCTATCTTAATTGCAAATCTTCGATAATTCTCTGTTACTGAACATTTCCTGTTGTCTGGTCACCATCCAGTCCTGCTTATATTGAACTAGAAAGCCCGGCGGTCATACGAAATGACCGCTGTTCTAGATATTATAAATTGTAATTAAATGATTTGTGCAAAGGTGTCTGCTAATTAAAACTGAATTACCCAGGGCTGGCGGCAAGGACGCCCCTTTGCTAACTGCCCCATGGGGTTTCTCCCTTCTACTTGCTTAATTGCTTAAAGTAGAGTACAATGAAGGAAACCACTGGCGGTACATTTCTTAAAAGACCACCGCTAGCTCAATCAATAAAGGTGATTTAAATAATGAAATGTTAATTCACATGTCAAAGATCTCTTTGTACACAACATTTCTTGTGTAGACCTTTCCTTCAGTTTTAAGTTCGCCTTGCAGAGGACCATCCAATATTTTTAATTTTATGTCCGTTCTTTCACGAACTCTTGAACAAGCAACATAAAGTTGACCGTTTCCAAATGCAGGCTCAGGTAAAAAAATGCCAACACGCTTAAGCGTTTGGCCCTGAGATTTATTGATGGTCATAGCAAAGGCAAGTTTTACAGGAAATTGTCTACGTCTCAATTGAAACGGCAACACTGTGCCGTGTCAACTTCACCCGATTGGCTAGTACAGTTACATAAGCAACCAATAAACTATCGGCGACAAACAGACACTTAAGCCGCATATATATATGGGGTGAAGTAACATTATCTCCTCCGAAACGGCTGGCTCCCGGGGCTTAGCGAAACACACCGTTCGATTCCGCAGGTTCATGGCACGCCATTTTGACCATTCGCGTCTTCTTGGGACTTTAATTAGCCGAGATATTAATTAAAAACTAATTTTCCCCTACTTTTTCCGTTTTCGTTCTTGGGTTTTCCCAATTAGAGGGATTTGGCTACGTGCCAAATTCTTTTTTCTCGAATATCTACGGAACGGCGCCGAGTTGAAATTCGAGACGCGTATCTCGGATTCCAAAAAAGTCTCCGAATCCATCGATACCGTTCTTATCTTCGTAGGACTTTAATCGGTTGAGATATTAATTAAAAACTGCGGAAACGGAAATTTCCGGGCTCATTTTTCCGAGTGGCAACAATAAACTATCGGCGACACACACTTTAGCCGCTTATATATATATAAAGAAAAGATATTTGAGATTTTAAAGCCAGAAAAAGAACCGAAGTGCATCTTCTGCTCACTACCGCATGTAAGTTCATACAGGGGTTGCCCCGTGTACAAGAAGCGATATGAACAAAGAAGCAGCAGGCGAAGCCAGCAGCTAAGATCCCTACGCCGGCAGATTTTCCGAAATTCATCGAAACATAGGAAGACAGCAGTAAAACCCAGATGCAACCTCTCTACAGTGATAGAGTAAATTAAAAATTAGAAAACCCACCCACAGAGTACAAGGATATCATAAACTGGATCCAAGATTCTGAAATCAAAAAATTTCTGAACAGTATGGTTGAGCACGTTGAGAAGATCCGCACTGCAAAAACCACGGCTGAGAAGTTTACTGCCGGGTTCAAAGCAGCCATGACACTGATGAGATTTGCTGAAAGTGAAGAGTAATCACCAGCTTAGAAGCATTTGAGGGAATTTCACTATGTTTACGATTTCTTTTCACTTTTTCAACACACAGGTTCCCCTGTTTACAGCAGGAGAGCTCGGGGTCAGTACTTGGGTGGGTGACCACCCACGTGACTGGCCTCGACGTATAATCTTTCTTCAACTAGTGAAGATACATCACAGCTTGTGCGGCGGCTAGGTACTTGAACCCTCCTTCTCCAAAGTCTACTTGACCAACTCACATGCATTAGCACATGTTCCTGCTTCACCTTTGTCGGTGCGGTGTAAATCACCTTAATTTTTAATTCTTCCCAACCCCTTAGGCCCTTAGGGCATATCTCCAACAGAGACGGTTAAAGTAGCAGAGGCTACTAAATGCCGCCTAACCATTCACTCGGTTTCGATTTCGATTTTATTTGAGATTTTACTGTACTTATATTTAACACGAAGAATAATATTGTCCAATAAAGAAATATTTGAACAGTCTAGTGATATGGTTTATGTTTTAATAAATTTATTAATTCAGCAAATATTATGTTTTAAATTTACAATTTTAACTAAGAAAAGGGATAATTCTCCAAGGGTGTAGAATTTGCCCATAAAATAGTAATATTCTTAAGAATAAAATGTATTATTTTAAACCTTTATTCTTATGGCTGTTACGAAGAGCGGGTCAAAGCACAGGAGGTATCGGCACTTGCATAAGGCAGGAGTTGAGTTTTTTATTATTCACAAGAAACAATTAAATTAAAATACATTGCTCTTCCATTAATAAAGCATTCAATTTATAGGATGCGCCAATTGCACAGACTATCTTGAGTACTGAAATGCTGGAGACGGCGTTGGCTGTAGCTTTGGAATCTAAAAGCTACCTCTGAAAGCTTTAGATCAAATGTTTTATAACTTCTGTATAAATTATGTTTTATACATATCAACAATATAGATTCTTTTACACATTTACACCAATTTTCATTCTTGATCAAAATCTTTCATCTGCGAATATATACAGGATTTAGATCACTTTAGTATTCGGTGTTCTTTAAGAAATATTACTGCATTTCACAAATTAGCCTTCCCACAAATTTATCACAGATACTTTCTTTTAGGAAATTTAATTAATTTCCTTTTGTTCTTTTAAGATCCAGCCGTGACTTCTTCTAACCACTGAAGATAGCTGGTAATTCTGGTATAAACACCCGGATAACCAGCTTGGGCACACTGGTAGCCAAACGAAACTACCCCGACTAAATGCCAAGCGCCGTTTTCGAATAACATGAGTGGGCCTCCAGAATCCCGCTGAAAGAAAGAAAAACCAATCAAATACTGTTAAGATCTTAAATAGTAAGACGCTTAGAATTTTAGAATGAGAAATAATACAATGTTCACAGAAACTTTGCCGTTTCTTCTTTTCTTATAAAGAATAAAAAATATTTTCCATAATTATATTTACGTGTGTATACTCCAGTTCAGGCGTTCCGCATGGACTTTTATTGTTATATACCCAGTGAATGAGCTAATTATAATGGGCTTGCAAGAGTCCTTTCGTAAATTTGTGCCTCATTTACGAGCCTCCTGTTATTTTGATTGCATTGTACTACCGCTAATAATATAATAACAGTAATAATAATTTAAATAATGTAATTAATTATTTAAATTAAAAAAAAAAAGCAAGAAAATCTGAAAGTTTTTTAGATTTTAAAAATACACGTCCAAAGGGGCTTTTCTTTAACGTTTTTTTGTGTTACCTTTATTTATTAAATATCATGTTCTACGTACTCAAACCATAAAATTCAGTTCAATAGCAATATCGCAAAGTAATTTTAAAATGAACATATCTTTAGAATTTCCGATAGATAGTCTCGTGGGCTGAATATAATTTTTTTTTTCCTCAGACAGTGTTGCTATTGCTCTCTTTGAAATCGTTGAGTTTGTTAATCGGGTAGTGCAATGAACCTTCTACAAAAATTTCCTAATATTGTAATTTGGCATGGCATAGCTTCTTGTTTTGCAGGATTTCCCTTACATTACTAACCAGTTATTTTAATTTTGGTACCTTTTCTGAATTCTCTATTTTCCCTCTCATTTCCTCTCCAGGATGCAAATTAAGCGGGTGAAAGAGAGTATTTAAACGGGTGAAAAGTATAGTTTAGACAGAACGTGATTTCGCTACTATAGCGCACGTTGCTGTGTTGTCCTCCCAACTGTTAGCTTAGTAGCGGCTACCTAGTCTGGTTGTTTAGTTAGTCTATCGCCGGTGTAGGTTGCTCATTCAGCCTGTTAGGTTAAATTGCGAAGTCTATCACTACTTCTTATATTTCGAATTTATTGTTAAATTTACCTTAAGTTCTCACAGCAAGTAGTAGGTGTTTCTGTGAGCACGTAGTTCATACCTTTCTGTTAAACTGTTGAGATAAATAAAAAGTTGAGTAACTTTTTATACCCTTTATCTGCTGTATTACTTTACACGCTGTAAGGATCTTAAGTTTTACTAACGTTTATTTTATTTTAAATCTTTACTATCACTTCTTATTTTCTACTTCCGGCCAGAATTAAAAGCTTTAACTTATTTATGCAAATTTGTCTTGCGAACGCCAAGTACTTAAGTTGTGGCTTTTTGCCAAGCAAGAGAGAAGGAGTGATTAGGAGCAGGCCGCTTGCCATAGCAGTTTTACTCGGTTGCTGGTTGTCTTCAAGGCCAGAGGTTTAATCCTCTTGATAATTTTAAACGTATTGTAGTATTAGCAGTTCTCAGTACTACATACGGCTTTCTGTTAATATACGGCCAATCTTCAAGTAGACACTTGTTTATTAATCCAAAGTTAGTTTAGTTAGAGTTTAGTTAATATTTTTTATATTCTTACGTTCAGACCACAAGTGGTTGGTCTCTGTATTCCGAAGTCCGGAAATCATTGTAAAGAGAGAAAAAATAAAGGGTTTCGTATACCCTTCTTGTGGGTATTGTCTACTTCCCACATTTATTGAACATAGCTTTAGTAAGCTCCCTGTTCCGAGTCAGGTCATTTAATGTTCCCAAAGCAAGTAAGGAGGAACACTGAACCTGATAACGCTTGTGAGAGAAATCGCCTGGCTAGACTTTTGAGATCTAGACATGTTGTATGATAGCAAAAAGAAAGTGAGATCTAAAGTTTACAGTTAACATTAGGAAATTCGATACGATACATTAGCATAATAAATAATTTCGAAATATTTCTTCATAAATTGGATGTATTTTATCACCAATATTCCAAATCAGCAAGAATTAAATGACAGTGGCAAATACCTAGGTGTCGAAATATTAAAAATCGATCGCGCGTTTGAACCACTATAGGCAGCATGCAGTTTATAGACGAATTTTTTTCCTATATGAAGGAACTAACCAGCTTTGTGCAAGCATTTTTCATAGAATGATAAATATAAGAGGTTTTCAAAAAGCCTCCTAAATCAGGAAATTTTAAAAGATTTGGCACTAATGATTAATATTCCACAAGAATTATCATATCGCATATTTTGTATTTTCAAAATTTTTTAAAAATATAACAATATTTTCTTTATTTTAAAACGTTTTCTTATTTTTGTACAATTATTTGTATTTCTTGTTTTTGCAAAGGATAAAACATTTATTTAGAATTTGATATTTTGTTTTTATGGAACAAAATACGAGTCTTAAAAAAATTTCATAACTCATCACTATACATATTTTGATGTTACACTTCTTGCCTGGGAATTAAAGTTTTTTTTATTGCCATGATGCTATCTTGCAAAACACTCACACCGCACAGTTCATGTTTGGCCGATGAAGTTACATAAGGTGATTGTGATTTCCGAGAATATTAAATTGACTTAAAACTTTCAATTCCGAAAATTTTTGATGAACCAAAAGGATAAAGAAGCATTTAATAGGGACATCAAAATAATTAACATTAATAGTGGTCGAAGTAGCATTGTTTTGTTTGACATCCTCAGTATCCGTTATGCTAGACCGTTATGCTACCCAATTTTAGAGCGATTTCGAGGCTGTTTAATTAACGTTTAAAATGTAAAGAGTTATTTTTTTAAAATATTCAATTTGATAGCTTTTTTTCTGGACTTATAAGTGTGCATTGAGATTTCCATAATAGAAAGGCTTTTCGTAAAATTTCCAGGGTTATTAATTTCCATTCCTCTTCCACTACTTTCCAGAAACCATCAATCGTATTGGGCTTGCGCTAAGAAAGAGCTCTTTTCAAGAGACCAAAGATACAATAATCCATAGATAAGGTGTCAAGAGACTTTGCAGGAATACATCGAGAAGAATTTATGCAGTATCTGTATCAGTTTTTAATTTTTTTTTTTAAGCCGCCGTATTTTTCGAAGTGCGGCTTGTTCCTTTGTCTTGCTGAAGTTTCATTTTATGAATGTTACTGGAATAAAAAAAAAATGAAATTCTTCTGTAAATATCGGTCGTAAAACGTTTTCTTGATAGTACGTTAACTTAATTTTAACATTATTTCCACTCTTCTTACCTTTAATTTCTCAGTGTAAGAGATTTTTTCGACAACCATAAACCACTTACTGAAATTTTCTTTGCATTGACGGAATCAGGTTTGGAATTTTTTTTTTCTCTTCATTTTCAATAACAAATATACTATTTTTCTGTTGCAGATGACCATGTTTCATTAAGGCTCGTAATGTATTTCCATTTATCTCCTGCTAAATAGTTTTCATACAGATTGTTCTGTGTTTAGCTACTGGCCTTTGTAAAGGCTGGTGAATTTTTATTTTCTTTTGAGTTTTTAAGTTGTAAATCGTAAGTTGGTTTATGACTTTACTTATTTCTGAAACAAATGTATTTAAAGGCTTTGCAGTTGATTTCTGCGTCGGCGGATTTTTTCTTGTTACCAACGATATAACTTTAGAAACCCTAGAAACAGTATGCACTTTTTTCGGGTATTCTTTTGGAATCATCTTTCCATGTAGACGGACAGGTTTTCCCTTTCAAGTTAATAATGTTGCTTAAACATTAGAAACACTTAGAAAATTTAGTACCATGCATTTCACAACGTTTTTGAATTACGGAATAGAAACTTTTCTCTTCGGATAACGAAAAAACACATGCTTATACTTACAGCTTGTTTACATGCGACATTTTGAAAGTATAAATTTAAAATCAGCAAACGATTACTCATTTCAAATTATAAGCTCTTGCCAGAAATTTCTCTTCCAAAACTTTTGCTTTTTTTATTTCTTTATCGTAATCGTTTTATAAATATGTAAACACTCTTTGTAACTGCATTAGCAAGGTGACTAAAATTTGTAAACAAAATGTTGCTGAAATGATTTTGCTAAACGAACACTATTAGGATATAACTAAATATTTCGAAACTGATTTTTATTCACTTTCTTTTCTTTCCAATACAGTATTTATTCTTGTATTTTTCTCTCTCGCATATTTTGCCTCTTAGTTTTTATGCAAAAGTTTCTGAATTTTTTTAAAAATATTCACATCATTTTCCCCTTCCTCAAGGGGTTCAGTCATACTTTCTAAATTTTAAAAAATGTGTTCTTCAATGTAGTGGTTGTTTTCGTCTTACTAATCGATTTTCTCGTGATTTTGGGTGTATGGGCTCTGACTGATTACGCAGTTATAATGAAGAGCTTTAAGAAAACGGGAAATTTAATTCTCTTGATGGTTCTGAAGATCACGTGGGAAGACACACTAATTGGAGCGAAGGCGATGACAATAGTATCGACACAAACCGCAGTTCTAACAGCTATGAACGATTTTGAAGCTTAAGAAGTAGCTGTAGATAACATTAAAAGCGGACGATATACAGGATGGAAGATAGTAGAAATTAAGATATCTTATTAGATATTTTAATGTTAATATAACGATGTATTCTTATTGGAATGTAAGCTTCCTTGAAATAAAGACTATTGGGATAGTCACCGATAGTTTAACTGCGAATGCGTTTAGTTTGTTACGTTTTCACTGCAGCCGCATCCTTCAAAAATTAAATTATTTGCAGAACTTTTTCCTCCCGATTCTCGTACAATAAAATTAGAAAAAAAAAATCTGATGTGTACACCACATGACTTCCTTGTACGGAATACTAAATTATACACATTTTTTCTTGCATTTCATTTAAACTTATTGGATTGAATTAAATCTACTTCGCCGACAGCGCATAAATCACAATGGAATAAATGCATTCTTTAAAATTCACTCTAGTATTTGTTTACGATAGCGACACTCTGGCGCTAGATTCACTTAGCAGTAAGTCGCAATGTGCCGAAAGAATTCCTTATGTAAATATTAAATATTATATTTCGCATAAAAATATTATTCAATAGGAAATAAAATGTTGCCACAATATTCATTTATTTTTATCGTTATAGTACTAGCAACAGAATTTATTAAATTGTTTTCCGAAATGCGTACTTTTTCCATTTGAACGTATTCTGCCTTTCTGCCGCATCAAGGAGGGAAAAAATAATTCTGTAAAAAAAAAAAAAAAAAAAAAAAGAAAAAAATAAATTCCCTATGTTTTTTGACGATTTTCTGAAATTAGGCACAGCAGCATGAGCTTTGACATTAATGTGGAACACGAGCAAGTGATGCAAATTTTATTTATGTCTCGACTATGTTAAAAAGAGCTTCTTTGTAAGTTTCTAAGAAGTTTTACATCTAAATTATTCATACGTTAAGTATCACATAAGCAACATTATCTAAAAAAAATCATGTACTAAGTTTTTTCTCTGGTCTTTCTTCTTTCTATTTCTGTTGTAGGACGTAATCCCACATTTAGTAAAATAAGAATTAAATAATTAAATAACATAATAATAATAAAAAAAGTCTGAAAGGTTTCAGATTTTAAATTACGTCCAAAGGGGCTTTTTTTAACGTTTTTTGTGTTACCTTTGTTTATTAAATACCATGTTCTTTGCACTTAAACCATAAAATTCAGTTCAATAGCAATGCCGCAAAATAATTTTAAAATGAGCATATCTTTAGAATTTCCGATACACAGTTCAGCGCCCTGGAGATAAAAAGGATCCCCCCCGTAATGTGTTGCCATTGCTCGCTTTGAAATCCTTGTGTTTGTCGATCAAAAATTCGTTACAGATTTACAAAATATGAAATCGATAATAAAACAAATTCCAAATTTCAAATTTGGTCTTCCACATGTCCATATTCGTAGGAGGATTACGTCATTCGAAATTCGGTGGCTCTATGTACCGTTGTTTTATCACAATGCGAGAAATATACATACATTTATCCAGATTTTTCATTATTTAATTTCTTCAAATGTAATGCAGGACTCTAACACTTGGTGGCAACAGTTTGAAAAGTGAGACGGACATTTATTAGTGATTCAACGCAAAATCGCAAAACGAAAACAATAGTCCTTTAGGGACAAAGCCCCTTTGAACTAAAAAATATCTGGAAGGATACAGATTTTAGAGAGTTTGTTAAAGTTTTCTCTTGCTGAGCTCGCAGGTTACCAATATGCTCTAGAACTCATTTCTCTCTTTCCTGCTCATACAACCTTTTTTGCCTTTTTAACTTTATTATTAAACATAACTTTTTTCGCACTTACACCGCACTAAATTAACCCTAAAATCTCAAAATTATTAAAACAATACATTTTTAGAATTCCCGATACACTGTTGAATATTGCTATGTGCTTTTTTACTTTTTTTTAAGTCTTTTTTTCTATTCATAATATCAACGTTCAGTTTTCTTAAAAAGATGGCCTACAATTTCTTTTTTGTTTTATTAATTTTAATATTAAATACCACTTACATCACATACAATTGGACATAAGATCATAAAATTTTTTATGCTATTTATTTAATACATGGTGAATAATGTTTCGTGGCAATACCATTTCATTCGTGTTACCATACATTTTTTTTCACTACATTACATCTTTAAAAATAATACATGACTAAAACATTTGGTGGTAATATCCTTTTATTTGAAAAGTGGTACCGGTTTAAAAAACTCTCCGCATTTTAAATTTGCTCCCTATTATTCTATGTAATTCGTTCGCAAAGTTCCTTAAATTAAGAGCTTCAAATTTAGTTTTTAAAAGGAATATGCAATTACAAATACTTTCAAAATGATGCGTCTTAAACTAAAATCACCTTTACTCAAATAATAATAATCATTTTTTAAAGAATACTTGAATAGGAAAAATAACATATGATATACCTGACAGGCATCCTTTCCACCCTCTGGCACACCCGCGCAAATGAACTGAGAAGTAAGCCCTTGAGGAATCGTCGTGCCTCTCATGTCTGCGTACGATTGGTTACAGGATGGTAGATCCATAACTTTAACAGTGACTTCTCTCAAGATACTAGCTCTCTGTCCGCCTGAAATATGCATTTTTAGAAACTGGACGATTTAAAAAACACTGATCTGATTTTTAATTCATATTCCATTCAAGCAACAAAATAGAGAACAATGAAAAATATAACTACTGCAGGGATCTCAAAGAATAGCACTCAGATGTAAAAACCTATAAAAAGATCGTAAAATCTTAGAAAATCAAAAAGAGTTTTACATTTCTCGTGAGATCTTCATCAGGGGGTTAGTGTCCCTTATTTTCGAGCTAACTGGTGAATAATTTAGTAAGGGTAAAAAATTCAACGAATTGAATCCTTTATTTTCGCAACTGTTGGTCGTAGATATACTATACTCTTATTAGGAAAAAATTTCAAATGACCTTAATATTCATGTTTTTAGAATTTTTAAAATGAAAAAAAATTAGTTTTGCTAAAATTGTGTAATATAATTTTTTACGTTGTCCTCCGGTTCCTATAATTAGGGTAAGGTCGCGTAAATCGTACCCCCTAAGAAAAAATAGCATCGTAGGATCTATGAAAAAAGTAAAACTTATGACCGATGATATTTTGTGTTGCCGTTGTTGATAATGCAATAAAAAGAACAAAAGTTCCGTACAGTCTAACTCTCTTGATAACATTAATAAAATTTATTTGAAGACGAACTTAATGCCACCTAGACAACCAGTATTCATACCATCGTACCATTCGTAAATCGTACCACCTATAGATTAAGTCGTAATACGTTTAAAATTGGTCAACTATAATGAAACTTTCTTTTTTCTCAATTAATTAATTTATAAATCAATTACAACAATGATCACAAAGATATTTTTTCATTTTCTTGTCAGCTCTAGCACATGAGTCGCGTGTGCCCATCCTTTGCAATTTAGGCTCCGAATCCTATTCTCGTCGCGGTCTTCCTCACAAATATTACAGAAACACGAACTTAATGTGAAGCAATACGATTGACTAGTTGGTAACTCGTTTTGCCGGTTTGGTTTATTTAATAATGGCAAAATGCTCAAAGGCTGTCTGCCTAAGGAGAGAGATGCCTTCGTGGAGGAGTTTTTAAGGGAAATCGGCACGTATGTATTTTACGCGTGAAGAAAACTATGAAAACGCCCATGCACAACAAAAAAAAAAAAAAAAAAAAAAAAAAAAAAAAAAAAAAAGCCAGCCCGTTCCCCGGGATTTGTACTCCAGACCAAGCTACCAGTGTTCAGCGATTTTGCCGCTCGGCCCCTGCCGGTTTCTCTTTTTGCCGGAAGGGACGCAATTGACGTGATATTGCGCCTGATATTTAAAAAGTAAGACTTCAGCGGTGGCACGACTTACACAAACTTACCCTATGTTTAGTAAACATTTATGCACATTTTAAGAAATTAAACAGATGTTTGACACTCGTAAGACAAAAATTAGTTTACGATTTGCTAGTGGGCAACAATTCACTGTTTTATAATTTTTTTACCTATGGTATGTCGGACGAATTGCGCACAAATAATTTATAAGTTTGTAAATCCTAAAAATTTGTTACTAAGATTCTCATTTATTATTTTAAAATTATAATGTTATAACGTTGCGCGCCTCTAACTAGCACGCAACCAAGAGGTGACTGTGAAAGCTTGTATAAACCACAGAGTCTTATAAAGGGTTTAAGTCCCTTTTTATTCAACGTACTAAATTACAATTGCGTCCTCTTGACGCTTACAAACTGTGCCAACTAGGCAGTCAAAATAAAAATAATAACCTGAAAAGAAATAAAGACAAGATTCTAACTACGAGGCTCTCTAAAATAACTAACTCACCGCGTTTTACAATACCGCTGCTAATTCAGCAGACTTGAAGCTCACTGGAACAATTGCAACTACTTCCCGCCAAGCACATAGGCCGCAAACGCGGGGTTCTTCAATTCTCGATTTCTACCTCCGCGCTCGTGAAGTAAGAATAACTCTCTCACCGAACTCGTTTCCTTCTATTTAAATCATAACTACTTCCGCTGATAATTTGAATGCTTGCGCGTTCTACTCAAATTTACATATTCTGGCATTGGCAGTTCCAGGGGAAAGTAAGGCTTGACAGGAAAGATAGTTTAAACTTAAAATAAATGTTAGTTAAAATAAATATAAACCCTACATTTGCCGCTGCCAGAATTTGGAAAACTTGGAAGCAGGTCCTACAAACGACCTGTTGTAAGTTTCTCTAATTCTGAACTAACTGGCGAAAGCCTCGTTTACACAAAAAAAAATCTTATGTAACAATTAAAATTCTGTTAGTCGTTACAAAGCTTTCTTCTTACAGCAACTTTTCCTGGACTTCATCAATCAATCTTGGTCTTTCCTTCCAGCATCTGGAAGGAATAAGTATCAGTATCTTTCTAAATACATTATAATTTACACTTTCTTGACACAATAAATTTTTGTTTTTAACGATTCGTTTTTCTTAGTTATTGCTTAACTTCACATTCATTCAATTTTTCAAGCATTAATTTAACTTTACCCTGGCTCTCCACCATGTGTGGTGTCAAACGGGAATATTCGTGTTTTAGTCTTACAACACTTCCCCTAACCACCATGATTTGTTAGAATTCAACGACCAAATAGACACACCTTACTCGACATTCTACAACTCAATGAGCTACTTTAACATTCTTAAAATTCAAATGTAGGTGGAGAACCCTACAAAACACATTCATTCTAACTTCCCCCTCATTCATCTTTAAACATGCAGGCTTTCGCTCTAAAGCATGACTTTTTACAGTTTAATACTTAAATTTTGAACTTCATTTGCTTTTGAGCATTTACTTTTAGCATCTAACAATTTTATGCTTCTAGACTAAATTCTACTTTTACATAACTTTCAAGTATTTACGTACATTTACAAAATTTTTTAATACATATGCTTTTTACAATTTACCATAAAATGAATAAGAGAAAATAAATTTTTACTTTACTCATTCTTCGCCAAGCTGGCGGCACTGAAACTAAAATTCTTATTAATACAAGAATACGAAGTTATTTTTATCTTCGGCCAAATTTTGGCTTTAACATAACAGAATTAGTCTTTCGACCAACAGAAAATGCTTGTTTTAGCTTTTACACTTAAAGAAAATAATACTTTTGCCTTAGCTAAATAAAGTAAAACAAAACTAAGTCTCAACCGAGACATATTGACTTTCGTCAAAACATAGAACTTCGTATTTATGCATAACATTTCGGAACAAAAGAGAAAAAAATTTATAGAAGATTTTAACTTATCTTTGAGTTTTCGATGCTTGAAACTCCGTCATCCTTTTTTGGCAAAATTGATCCCAAGTTTAGAGGTTTCATGGATGTCAATCTTCTCCTTGTTGATCTCCGAGTGTCGTCCCACGTTGATCTTTCTTTTGCGTCCTCTACATGCTGGCCTCTTGACGGAGTAATCGTCTGGTTGTTGTCCTTTGCGTTTCTTTTTCTCCCTGGGACGGCTGGTCTTGACGTCCTCCGGTCTGGAGTCCTTCTTGAATTTCTTCTGTTCGTCGTATTTTTGTTGCCTCCTGTTTGCGTTTCAGTTTCCGGAACGGCGGCCTTGCTGGCACCTGACTCTGTGGCCCGTGTGCGCGTTCTCCTTGATGTGTAATTTCTCCTGCCATCTTTTGTAGGTGGTGTTTTCGTCTTTACCAACGGTTTCTTTACCGCGGTTCATCTGTATTTTGTTTTTCTTAAACGCTGGAGTTTGAAATTCCTTTTTCTTTTTGATACCGACGTCCGGGTTGTAGAAGGGCTAGGTTCTCTCTTCAGTTCTCTGTTTCTTGGGTGGTGGAATAGTTGTTAGTCTCTGGACCTTCTACTTCGTTTAGACTTGAGTCCTGCAAGAAACTTTTAAGGATTTCAAAATCATTTTGGATTATAAGTATTTTTTCACCTGGTCGGGACTTGCTTTACAGATTTCCCCTCTCTCGTTCTTAAGGATATAAGACTACTCCTTTGATTTCCTGAATTACATAGGGGCCTTCAAACTTTTGGAGCTAGCTTTGCCAGTAAAATTGTCTGGGGCACTTGATAAAAGAAATTTCCGCTTCAATACTTTATCCCCAACTTTAAAATCTGCTTCACGGCGTTTTCTTTTCTATCGTAATATAACTTTTGTCTATTTCTTGCCGTATCCGAAGCTTTTAAGCGCCTGATCAATTAGTTTTTGCACATCCTTTTGTTTAAATTCTTGCTCTCTTTGTTGCACAAAGAATAATTTATCTAAAGGCGTAATTAACTTTCTGCCTAAAAATAATTCTGCTGGAGTTTTTCCCGTAGTATCATGATGTGCCGTTCTTAAAGCATAAGCTAATTCATTTATGTAGCCATCCCAGCGCTTGTGATGTGTGCTAACGTAACTGCGAATTATTTTTACAATGTTTTTATTAACTCTTTCTGCTATGTTTAGCCTGTGGTCTATACGGAACCATTTTGATATGGCGTATGCCAAGTCCATTGCATATGTTTTCAAATATTTGACTAATGAATTGTTTTCCGTTATCGCTAATGACTTTTATCGGTGCACCGTATTTTAAAATGTATCTGTGTAAGAATGCATCTGCGACTGTTTTGGCTGACGCGCGTTTAAGTGGAACAATTTCTATCCATTTTGAAAAATGATCTACTATTACTAAAAGAAAACGATTTTTATTTAACTCGCTCTGGGGGAAGGGACCAAGAAGATCTATGCCTAAAATTTCATTCGGAAATGTAGCGCGAATGCTATTTAAGTACCCGGCCGGGCTGTAATTAATATCATTTATTAACTGACATTGATTGCAGGACCTGACATACGCCGTTACTATTTTGTATAATTGCGGGAAATATACCGCCTCGCGTACCCTTTTTAAAGTCTTTCTGACCCCTAAGGTGGCCCGCTGTTTTTTTTTTTTCGTGCAATTCCTTCAAAATGCTTAATCGAAGCGAGGCTGGGATGACTGGCTTATACTCAAGATTTTCGTTTGTTGTTTTCGTATAGAATAATAAATTATCTATTATTTCATAGTTTTTTGCTCTATT